TGGCATTCTCATCGTTGGGGGGTGAATGAGGAACAGGGACCGACGGAGAAGCACTAGTGTCGATCAAAATGGCATCATCCAGTTGATGGGTTGGATTAGTGTTTACTGCAGGAGATTTGTCAAGGCGGAGGCCTTGACGGGTTGGAGGTGGATTCTCCGATTGGGAGGCAACATTGATCTGCTGCTGCTTGGCCATGAGATCACTCATCATTTTGGACATGGCAGCTGTGATCTGCTCATTAATTATATTCATGTGTTCTTTCAGCTTTTCGTCAATCATGGCTGCAATCTCGGCTTGATTGGCCATCCTTCTTTTGGTCACCGATCGAGTATTATGAGGATGAGGGGGATCCGTGGCAAATTACCTGCAAAAAGCAACAGTGGAATAAATACGACAAGTAAGAATAACGAGTCGGTCCATGACATCCTCTAGACCCTCAAGATGAAATTTCCTTCGAACGACTGATTCGTCTAGTAAATCCCGAAATTCCAAATTGCTTTATTCAATAAAAACCTGGACTGATTCCAAAATTTACAAATTATAGCTCAACGTTTTTCATGGAAAATGTCTCAAAAGAATTCTTATAAAAATCGTTCAGCAACATTTATTACCAAAAACATCAATAGCATGAAGTACAAAAGTAAGCTAACATTCCATCCTAAAAGAAAGACAAACTCCCTAAACCAAACTAGAAATCAGATAGTCTTCCTCTTTTTAGAGGCTACGTGATCTATAGACGAATGGGCCTTCAAGGCGCGCCATAATCGTGCATTCTCTTCAGCCAGAGCATCTGCCTTATCCTGGGCCTTCGTCGCCTTTTCTTTGCTGATTTTGATTTGAGTCTGAAGGGTATGCCGTACTGTCACGACCGGGATCTTCGGGAGTATCTCAACAGGGATGGTATGATGCTGAATATACCGGGCCGTGGCAAAGTGACGCTTCATCCTTCCGGTGGGCTCATCTGCGGGCCAAATCAGCTTCCGAGTGGAACAATTCTGCCAAGCTTCAGAATGACGCCTAAGCTCGACTCTGTAGGACTCGCCTTTCTCGAACTGGACTTGAAATTCATTGGGCCTGAGTGGAGATGGGACATCCTGCAGAACTCGGAATTGACGTGTAACCCGAAGGGGCTGATAGCAGGTTGCCCCATAAATGCCATCAAAGGTACGGGCTTCTGATCGCTATGGTATAGTCGAGCCTCAACCTTCCGAAACCACACAGCTTGCCAAAGGAAAATCTTAGAGCTTGGATCCTTGAACAGATGGACCCATTGTGTATAGTGCAAACTCTTAGTTTGATCTTGTATTTGTTTGAACCTTAAAATAGGGTTATCAGTCATGCCCATTTCAAATACAGTCATATTTTCCCCAAATTGAGAAAGGTGTGAGAAAAGCCAGATTTGTAAAAGCTCAATCGGGGCTCGAAAAGTTCTATCTTTTCCTTTCTTGAATCGTGTCAGAGATATGAAAGTCTCTGCCAGAATTGTGTTTATAAAACTAACTCCACCACATATTAGTTTTACCGTCCTAGCTATCACCGGATCAATAGCATTTTGACGGAATGGAAAAACGATGAGTCCAAAAAAAACTAAGATAAAAATTTTAGATCTCGTGAGGACGGAGTTATTTTCGAAACATTCAATAAGAAAAGATAATGGGCATGCTTGACAATTACCATTTAGCACTTTTTCAATTTCCTTTTTAATCAAATTCAAAAATTCAGCAAGCACTACCATAGGATCTACCTTAATGGGTGGTTCGACTATATCCAACTCAATCGATTTCCCAATGGCAATACTGTATTCTTCTAGAGTCGGTGTGAGCTCAAACTTACCTCCCAACACAAATGTGGTTGTCTCGGGGCACCAAAAATGAGCGAGTGCTTGCATGATCCCGCTCTCAACATCTATGTTTAGGATTGGCAGTATGAATCCAATACGCTTGAGAACGTACTGCTGACCATCTGGCTTCAACTGGCTCCATAACTTCTTGAGCTCTAGCTTCGGAGTAGGCACGAAACGGATATCGAGGCGACCCATTCTTATAGACCACGTGCCAAAAGACTCAACCTAAACCATGGACCGACTCAAAATAAGATACAGAAAACCAAAGATAAAGCTCGAGAAATTACCGTCTTTGGGGAAAAAATGTCAATCACAGAGACATGCACATGAATCGTGAGTTTAAATCTTAATCTATCTATCCTAATGGCTTTTGCAAAGTGAAATGATGAACGGAACGATACGTCGCAGCCTCGCGTACAATCATCATGACTAGTTGCGGCCTCGCATACCGTAGTCATGACTAGTCGGGTCCAATCACTTCGGCTTGGTTCAGTCGACAAGAGTAACCTCCATGCATTGTAGCCTCACGTGCATGAGGACGATCCTTGAGCCATTTTTTGAAAAAAAATTCGGGATCCAAATGGGATAACCTTTAGCGAAGTCTTACCGCCAAGGTTAAAGAACCATCCAAATACCATCTTAAAACTATGGGTGTGACCCAGGTCCGGTCACAGGTTTTGTGTGGTGTAGTGCAAATACTGTAAATCATGCACAACAATTATATGCAAACACCACTTCAATAGTACAAAAATTAAATCACAATTCCACTCCACCAAGCCTACAAAACAAAGTGTTAGTCAATCACTACTCCCCTTATAACTCCCATCCTGCAAAACCATTTAACACCTAAGAATGAGAATCCAATCAAATTTTGTCAAATCGAGTGATTTTTCCATAAAAAAAATTTTGGCCTAAGTCCTCCTTAAAAATTTTTTAAAAAAAAATTAAAGTTAATCTCCCCAGTGGAGTCGCCAAGCTGTCGCGACCTAAAAAAATCGGGTTTTCGATCTTAGGCTAATAGATTACTAGATCAATTAAATTAACTAACCTAGCTCGAGTTCTCCCAAACTCTACCAAATCGCAACTTAGGTCCAATTGTGAGCATGCAAATATTTTCAATGGGAGTCGCCACTAATCATTTAAGGTAGGTTGATTAGAAACCTAAATAAAATAGCGGGAGTACTATTTTATTTCTGCGAACCAGAAATTATAAATTCGGGGACTTGGTTACGCTAGATTCCCTAACGCCCTTTCAGTACCAATTTTAAGAGAAATACTCAATTGGACAATTTTGATAAATCCTGACTTAGAGTTCAAAGGTGCAGAAATTTTCGTTTTTGATTTTTTATTTATTTAAATGAAAGCTAACCTATATGTAATGACGTGCAAAAATTGACATGTGATTAATGCAACCTAACATGCAAACTATATGTCATGCGACGACGTGATCTATTTCTAATGACGGGCATATTATTTTTTTTGTATTTTTTCTTTAATGAAATTCGGAATTAAAAATGCCAATTATCTAAATATGCAGTTTTAAACTAAAGAAATTAACCTATTCTAGAGTAATCTTTTTGGCATTTTTTTTATCAAAATTCGAAATTAAAATCAAGTAAAAAAATATAACTGCTAAATCTTTCGAATTAAGTTTCGATCTGAAGCCTGACAGATCGATCCTAAAATTCGAAATACCCGCTATGGAAATAACTCTATCTAAAGCCTAATAGATAGATTTATTTCCATGTGTGCGGTTGCGGATTAGGAAATTTTCATAATCGATCACATCTTGAGAAAAAATAGATATCTTAAATATCTTGGATATATTCAAAAGATTTTGAAAATTCTAAATTCTATCCAAACTTGAAAAGTAATAAATATCCAAGATTTCAAAAAAGGAAATAAAATCCTAATTGAAATAATGCTTACTATTCAATTATGCAAAATTAGATATCAATAAGCACAAATTAGGCAACCAAATATTCGAATCAAATCGGGATATGATAATTACCTGATTTGCAAATTTCTTTCCTAATTTGAATTTGTAGCGGATCGGGATTGCGGATCGGCGGTGCGTCGGGAGCGGTGGCGTGATGTCGGGAACAGTGGCGGCTAGCGACGGTGACACGACGGGAACGGCGGCGCGGCGGGCGTCTCCGGGCAGCGGCCAACAGGCGGGGACGGGCGACTCTCCAGCGGCTGTGCAACGAACAGCGGCAGCACAGGCGGTGGGCTAACGGTGGTGCAGGCGGCTCCGGCTGGCGAGCGGCGGTGCAGGGCAGCTCTGGCTGGCGAGCGGCGGTGCAGGGCAGCTCTCCGGTGGCTGTGTAGCGAGTAGCGGCGACACAGGTGGGCGGAGCAGGGACGTCCAGGCGGCGGTGGTGTGCGACGAGGCAGCGGCAGGCAAGCGTGCAGCGGTGGTGGCACACGGCGGGAGACGGCAGAGCGCGGCAAGAGGCAGCGGCGCGCGGCGGTGGCACACGGCGGGAGCAGCAGCGCGCGACGGGAGAGGACGGAGGCTTCGCAGGCGGGCGGTGGCGCGGCAGGCGTGCAGCGGCTGAAGGGCGGAGCAGCTCCAGCGTAGTGCGGCAGGCGGTGGCGCGGCAGGCGTGCAGTGCGGCGCGGTAGGCGGTCTCCTTCTCTCTCTCTCTCTCACTCTTCTCAAAATTCTCTCGTATGTCTCTCTAAAAATCCGATCTGAAAAATTATCAGAGCCCCCCCTTGATTATGAGACATAAACATATATTTATAATGTAAACCTAGGTCAATTAGCCAGGCTTTCTAATCCTAATGGGCTTAGGTTTAGGCTTTAATTCAATTCTAAGTGGGCTGAATTAATTTGGGCTTTTCTTTAATTAAGCATAATGGGCTAATTTAAGCTCAAATTAAGACAACCAAGCCCTTTTGTGTGTGATTTTCGGCTCATGCTTTCCGAGTGAGCCGAGTCTCGTTCGGTGCCCGAGCTCGATTTACGTGATGAATTTTAAGCTCGCTTACCACCGCCGCTCCGATGCGAAATGCAGTTTATCTATATGAACCTAAACTTTATGCTATGCGATTTGTAATATTTTTGTTCAGGGATTAAAATTTAATCCCTAATTTTCTATGCAATTAATCACTAAATAATGCGCCGAAATTTAGGTGTCAACAAAGAAGAATGGTTCTTTCTACCAAGAAGAAGGGAGCGAAGGTATTGCTATCCATGTAAGTTGCACAAATTGACTCTATAACTCTAAATGAAAATCATTAAACTAAGCGAATTCGACACATTGAGAAATCGCATTCAATGAATTGTTTCTAGGTCTGGAAGAATTGGAGGGGCAGTACGCCGTTGGTAATGTTAGATCCTGCCATTGGAGACGCTTATTCAATGGACGAAGTTCTTGGATGCCTCAGAATTGGTTTGCTGTGTACTTTGGAAGATCCAAATCAAAGACCCACAATGGCGAGCATAGTCTGTGAGTTGAGCAGCCTCCCTATTACTCTTGAACTACCCCAACGACCGGCCTTCTTCCCCAGCAGGATTGAGAGACTGATGGAAGAGCTGGAATCAGACCAATCCACCGGTAGGTCGATGCCATTGTCGACCACTGAGATGTCGGACCAATCCACCGGTAGACTGGTATGAACCGCGATGTGAGTGGATCTTTTGTCATGATAGTCTTACAGAGACCTTGATCATAAGATCCTTCGCATTCCCACTGAGATCATCTATAAACAAAGAGCAAACACCTAAGTCCTGTATATCTAAAAGTACAAAGTGTCTTTTCTTTTAGGCTAACCATGTCTTATTCCACTGGATATGGAAGGTTGTTTATATTAATATTTGTATGTGGTTTTACTGGATCGAGGAATCAAGTTTTTTTTTTTTTGGTTAAAAATCGAGGAATCAAGTTCTTCCTCGTCTAAAGCAATAATTAATTGAAACGATTGGAGTCACTCAATAGTCATGATTTTCTCACACTACTTTTCATTATATATGATAACGTACATTCTTTCGTACATAATCCGCACCGCTTTGTTGCTGTCAAATTTCCGCAAATATTCCTTTGCATCACCTGCCTATTTACAAGATAATAATGGTCGGTGATTGATAATGATGAAAAGGCAAGCAACTTCACACAAATCCTTCCATTTATATTTCCCCATATGTCTTCCACAAAATAAACACCTCTTTCTCTCTCTATATAAATATCTGAGATCTTAGCCATGGCCTACAAGGAGTTGAGCTAGTCGATTAGCTCCTCCATGGCCGGAAAGTGCTCAAATGGTTCTAGTGTTGAGTAGCAAGATGGGATGTTGAGGGAGGGAGGGAGACTGCGAGATCATAGGCCGAAGACCAGATAAGTGTAAATTGAATAAACACGCATTAATGTCGTAATAGCCCATAAAGGGTTGACGTACAAAGTAATGTATAATTCCATGAACTCAGTTTCTGGAAACCTATTTCATATTAATATAATTAGATTATATGAATCTTGTACAGAACCTACTTAGCTTGTAAGTTCGAATAATTTCTAGTTCAACAAGGATAGAGGATCTCACTCCATCAATATTTTATTTTGGTGGGTCCATATTCCGAGTTTGAAGGGTCACAGACCTTGTCAATGACCCTGCACAAGGCCAAATAGGTGTTAGACGTGAATTTTTACAAGAGAAATAATATGTAGATAATTACAAAAATGAACATTTACATCAAGTAAATTCTTTGTTAGACCTTATGTTGGAGTTTTATTTAAAGTGGATCCAAATACCTTCATAAAGGTTTATCTCTCGATTAAAAGAAAACATGAGAGATACGATTGCAATATTTTTCGATTCATAATATGTGTACATGCAATATTGGTATGCGATGCGACAACTTAAAACATGACAGCAAGGAAATTTTGCCTTAGAAATCCCCTAATATTGGTATTAATGTACTATTTTTAATCGGAATGAAATTAACTTATATTGGTGTTAAAATGTTCATCAAAATATTATTTGACAGCTTCATAAAAAGAAACTGTGTATGGATGGCTGGTGGAACTAAAGGGATTCGCAGCCAATGTGATTAATCATCTGAGTTTGGATGAAATGTGAATATGCTTTGTCTTCTCATATAAATGTGGATTTCAAGGGGTATATTCCGAAGCACCTAACCATTGTTCCAGATCACAGCCATGTCTTTCGTTGGAAAAAGGAATTGGAAACCCTCAAATTTTTCTTACATTCACACGCAGTGCGAGCAATTGAATATATTATCTTCACTTTACAACGAAGACTCCTCTGTCTCTCTATCTCGCATTCCTTGTTTGAATTTCAATTGTTTTTTTTATTCGATTTAACCATATTTGTTGCCAAGTGAACGATAAGATTTGACTTGTTCTTTCCAGAGTGAGCTTAGCCAAGAAGTAATTGCATATTTTATAAAGGGGACTTGCTAGCCTGACGTTGTCGTTAGACTGAGTTTCTAACGGTTCTATGTTGACCGCAATTTTCATTCCATAGGCTGTTTAATTGCTTCTCATAAAAAGTAGAACGGTTCCCTTGTAGAAAATGGAAATGAAAAACCATTCTTTGTAGCATGATCCTTTTTTTAAAAAAAAATTTTACTCGACATTTTGTTATATTAAAACGTCATAAATCTTATAATATAGAAATATTCACATTGTATGACATTCTGCTCTTGACAAACGCCAAAATATCTATATCTCATAAAATAAAACAAGAAAGTTATGACAGTCACTCAGTTACAATAATACGAAATTATTTGTAAATAAATTTTCTCATACTTTATGATATGTTGCACTCGATTGCAATAAAGCGTTATCAACGGTGGTGCAAATTCGTAAAATGAAACAAAAATATATTTTATGACATCATGAATACTTGATTACGATCAAACGTAACAAAATTGTAGTAGAATATCGTAAAGTGAAGGAAAATATATTTTATGATCTTTTGTGCTTGGTCACATCTACCACCAATATTTTTAAGGGTTAATATCACGAAAAATTTTAAATTGGTACATCTATGACAAATTTACCCCAAACTAATTTTTTGATCACGAAAAACCCCAAACTGGCACACCTGTGACAATTTTACATCGAATTAATTTTTTGACTACTAAAAATCCCGAACTGGTACACATGTGACAAATTTACCCTTTGTTAATTTCAGTTAAATTTTTCTATCAAATTGATGAGTTTGATGGTACGTGATAGTTGACGGGTGTATTAATTTAAGGTTTTACCTCTCTATTTGTCACAAGTTTATGAATTTGTGGTTTTTCGTGATGTTAATCCAACGGAGGGTAAAATTATCACAAGTGTCCTAATTTGGAGTTTTTGGTGGTAAAAAAATTAGTTCGGGGTAAATTTATCACATATATATCAGTTTGGGGTTTTTGGTGGTCAAAAAATTAATTTTGGGTAAAATTATCACAGGTTTACCAGTTTAGAATTTTTTGTGATCAAAAAATTAGTTCGGGATAAATTTATTACAGATGTACCGGATTAGAGCTTTTTATAGTTAAAAAATTAATTCGAAATAAAATTATCATAAATATATCAATTTAAGATTTTTCGTGATATTAATCGTATTTTTAACCTTTTCTTCCCATTTTGGGAGGATATCGGTGGGCCCGATAGACTCTTTTTTGCACACCATTCCTCCTAAACACGTGTAAGAGTTCTGACTTTTTCCCCACTAGGCAAAATGGCAGATGTAAATCAATTTGTCGGATCCATGTTTTCAAAACTACAATTATTCGAGTACGTGACATCACCTCGCTTTGCTTTTCGCGACATCACCTCACTTATTATTGTCACGTCACCCCTAGACTTAATCACGTCAAAGTTTTTTTTATTTCCTTCAACTTCCACACCCGCCTCTAATTGATAAGTCACATGAATGGAGGGATAAGGACAAAAAAAGTATCATAATATTTTTTTTCACATTTGAATGTTAAAAATTTGCAAAAGTGATCACTTGAGTGCCAAATGCTATATGACAGCCAGAAAATCCGATGTGGCTTCGCTGGAGCTGACGTGGCTTCACCAGAGCTGACGTAGAAAATATTTTGATATTTTTTTGAATTTTTGAATTTTTGAATTTTTTTATTTTTGCAAACTTTGTTTTCAATGCTAGCAAGGGTCACCGGTGATTCTCGCTGATTGTGAAGGCCTCGCCCAGATTGGACAAGGGCCGCCTTGCCCTTGGTTGCGAATGCCCTGGGCAACGCCGCGAAGGCCGTCTCGCCGGCCGTGGGCGAGGCGGCCTCGAAAGATCTGGTGAGAGCCTTCACCGCCACGGGCGAGGCAGCCTCGCCAAATCTGGCGAGAGCCTTCACCACCTCGCCTGTGCCGGTGAGGCCGCGATGGCCTCGCCAAGGGCTTTCGCCATCGCAGGCAAGGCAGACTCGCCGGATCTGGTGAGAGCCTTCACCGCCGCGGGTGAGGCGGTCTCATCGGATCTGGTGAGAACCTTCGCCGCCGCACCTGCTGCCGATGAGGGATGGCCTCACCCAGGGCATTCACAGCTGCAGGCAAGGCAGCCTCACCGGATCTGGCGAGAGCCTTCACTGGCTCGCTCGCGGCGACAAGGCCGCGATGGCCTCACCAAGGGCCTTCGTGGCCATACCGGCCGATGGTGAGGTGGCCCTCACCCAATTTGGCCGAGGGCGAGGCCTCCGGCGAGGGTCACCGGCGACCCTCGCCAACCTTGAAAAAAAAAGAAAAATAAGAAAGAAAAATAAAAATTAAAAGATAAAGATAAAGAAATTTTTTAAAAAAATCAATAAAATAACATAAAAAAATCCATGTCGGATGAAAAATTAATTAAAAAATCCACGTCAGCTCATTTGCCGGAAATGACACTCAAATGATCTATTTTCGCCGGAAGTGGCACTTAAATGATTTATTTTACTTCAATGTGGCACTCAAGTGAGCAAAAAAAAAAAGTTATAGCACTCAAGTGAACGCCGTACGAAAGTTATGACACTTCTAGTGTCCTTGTCCCCATGAATGGACATCATATACATTTGATTTTGATTAGGTTTTGTGCCGGTAATTTTCATAATTTGTTCCCAACCAATTGGAAGTATGGCTAAAGGACCCTCCTCCAACCAGGATTAAAGGAAAATATTGTTTTCTTTTTTCATTTTACACAAAAGGACTTCCTCCTTGTTTAAGCATACTATATAACATGTGTAAGGTCCAAATCAATATTTTATGTTCATCTTCAAAAGAAGGATTTATATAACGTACACCATCGTGTATCTAACTAAGCATGAGAAAGAAGAAGAGTTCTATGACTTCTAGTTTATACTCAAGGCTGCTCAAGGCTGCGAGCAGGACGATGATGACCAATGTTGGTGTCAGCGGGGCTACAATTTTGTTTGTTTTCATTTCTTCTATTTTGCTTATTGTTTTACGAATCTTCAAATTTGTTTTGATTATTTAAGAAAATTTACTACTTATTTAATCATCATGAACTTTTCCCTTGCTAACTCATTTTTTTGGTCGGCAACTCAGCTTTTCCAAGGTCCATGTTAGCAATAATCGGTCGGAAAAAATAAGAGATTAACCAAAGGACGAATGATGTGACTTTCTAAAGAAGTACATGGACGGTTTTGAAAAGAAAACAGAGGGGTGGTTTTGAATTTCAAGTAAAAGTAGAGGATCCCTAGTGAAATTATCCCCTGAGATGTACAGGTGAATAGTGATTTTGCTATAGCGTCTGATTGAGTAATAAGCTAACTTCGAAAAAAATATTGCATAGTCTATGGACTATATAAATTAAATCGATCTAGACTATTGATCATGTGAACCCACGATGGAATCAAATTAATTATTCAAATGATATTAATTTATATGGTTTATAAAATATACGGTAACTTTTCGGCTAAGCTCACTCTAAAACGAAGAGTTCAAACCTTATCATTTCAATATTTTTTTAAAAGGCTACTTCATTCATATATGGTCAAAACCTAAACACTAATAAAATGTGAAGCTCAAGAAGTGCTACAAGAAAAACAGCCTGAGACGACAAAATTTTTTGCGACGAAAATGACTTTTGTCGCCTCAAGTTACCCAAAGTTTTTTGTCTCCTTAGGATGAACCAATTTGCAAGGAAAAGTGCCAAACAAATTTTAAATCTTTTTCATTGGTGCCAATTTAGTCATAAAACCTTTTTTCGGTGCCAATTCAGTCTTAAACCTTTTGCATTTGTGCCAATTCAGTCCTAAACCTTTTTATGGTGCCAATTCAATCCTAAACCTTTTGCATTTGTGCCAATTTAGTCCTAAACCTTTTATTTTTATGCCAATTCAGTCCTTCCAACCAATTTTGGTCGGATTTTACTGACGTGGACGTCGACCGGCTGACAGCCGGTCACTGGTGCTGACGTGGACAACTTTAATGATATTTTGATATTTTTTTGAATTTTTTTGAATTTTTTTATTTTTTTTATTTTTTCTTTTCTTTTTTTTCCCCTCCCCTCCCTCCTTCCTCTGGCCGGCACCGGCGAGGACGAGCCTCGCCCGTGACCGGCGTGAGCGAGCCTCGCCGGGACCATTGACCGGCCAGAGGAAGGAGGGAAAGGAGGGGAAAAAAAAAGAAAAAGAAAAAAAGGAAAAAATAAATAAATAATTCAAAAAAATATTTAAATATTATTAAAGTTGTCCACGTTAGTGCAGGTGACCGACTGCCGGCCGGTCGACATCCATGTCAGCAAAATCCGGCCAAAATTGACCAAAAGGACTGAATTAACACAAAAATAAAAGGTTTATGACTGAATTGGCACAAATGCATAAGGTTTAGGACTGAATTGACACCATAAAAAGGTTTAGGACTGAATTGGCACCAATGCAAAAGATTTAGGACTGAATTGGCATCATAAAAAGGTTTAAGACTGAATTGGCACCAATACAAAAGATTTAGGACTAAATTGGTACCAAAAAAAGGTTTAGGACTGAATTGGCACAAATGCAAAAGGTTTAGGACTTTTTTGGCACTTTTCTCCCAATTTGCAAGTTAACTCTAGGGAAAGTTACTGTTGTCATTGATTCGATTAAAGAAGGGATTTTTTTTAACCTACGATGACAAAAATGAATTTTTCTCGCCTTTGGTCAGATCAAAGGAGACAAAAATAAAAAGTTTACGCGTTTAGTGGTGATGACCTAAGGCAACAAACATCAGATTTTGTAACAGCCATAAACCTTAGGGGTTTAGGAATACTAATAATTTTATCGCCTTAGATTTTTCTAAGGCAACAAAAATGAATGACCTTGTCGCCTTTTGTTGGATTGGTTATCAAGATTTTCTTTGAACATGAGATAATATAGTATCAAATTTTTACATGTAGTCATTATGTACAAGAACTGCTGAGTTATATATGAAAGTTGTCACTCTTGATATCTAATGGTTGAATATATTACATATACAACAAGTGAGTTACCAATTAAAGCATTTAATTCAACAAATGCATAGCATCGAGGGTATTATAGTCTTCTAATTATTTTTATTCTAAAAGAACCCTTGCTTTTAGATTAATCAATTAAAAATAAAAAGTTGTCACTTTTGTGGAATGAATTAATTGATCAGCGATTAGAAGGAGTTCTCTGTGTTATATTTGCGAAAGTCGGTTATATATATGAGCTTCATACATTTCTTTTAGCTAGCTAATAGGTTGTAAGTTATCACATTTATATATATTTTTTGTATATTTGTTACAAATATAATTAATTTCATTATTGGAAGAATGAATCGTTTTTTTGTCATTAAATATAAACATTTGATGTATGACAGAATAGAAATCTTTTCGCCTTAGACGTACTCTAAGGCGACAAAAGTAAGTTATTTGTCACCTTATGTATATGATAAGGTGACGAAATTTATTATTTTACCACCTTAGATATATCTTATTGTGTCCCATGAGCACTCACATAATCAACGGCTGGGATGCTGCCACATCACTCTCTTTATCCTTTTCCAGCAACCCAAGACCTTGTAAGTTTTTTTCTCACAGAGGAAAAATCCTCCTTCATCCATCACTACCCTTCGGCCAACGTCACCATTGCCGCTTCGGAGCATCATCATCGTTCTCCAACCCAGACCGTTCCACCACCAGCATAGTCACCACCGATGCGGCTGTTCCAACCACCATTATCACCATCACCACCATCGGCAACAAGAACAAACTCTCTCTCTCTCTCTCTCTCTCTCTCTCTCTCTCTCTCTCTCTCGGTTGACAACCAGGAGGTGGCGACAATTGGGTCTAGCTAAGCAACATAGGCTTGAGCAATTTATGTTGATGATATCTTCTCAGACACGCCCGATTTTGCTCTTTGGGCCAACCGGGCCTCCAAATCCATGACCTACTCTCTAGTCGTGACCAGAGAGAGATCTGAGACTGACAAACAAATCGATGCAGGCCACCGTAGTGTGCCGGGGTTCCGAAACTTACCGGAATAAAGCTAGATTGCAATACTCGTACAAACGATTTTGGCCTCTGTGGGTGTGACCTTGCGTTTGTGGAAGTAGCCCATGCCTCTAAAGCCACCATCATGGTATGTCCAGGGTTAGCATTTGCATTCGCATAATTTCTTGATTTTGTGTTTTGTCACGCAAACGCTATGACATGGGCCATGCCCTATGTTGGAAACAGTCTCCCTTTTGAAGAACTTATATTGGTCTTCTTTCCTTTATTGTCCTGATCCTCTTCAATCTCTACTTCAAGTTTTTCTCCAGAGCATCATCAAAATCCAACCATGACCTCCGTAATTCACCTCACTCACAATCACAGAGGACGACTCATACTTCTCATCTTCAACTATGAAGCTGAAGCAGCCTGCAACCATTCTGTCTGCACAGCCTCCTTCAATCCCTCCTCTTTTTCTTCGTCTTCCTTCTTACCTTCTCTTTCTTCACATCCTAACGTTCGACATGACGATTATCACTGCTACGACACGGCAACTTCATGGCCGCCGGCAACTATGCTGAGAACCACAAGCTCCTCCTCTCTTCTTTCCCTAGCAACATGGCTTTGAACGGCGGGTTCTCCTCTGGGACGGTAGGGAATGGCTCAGATGCCTTTACGTGTTCAGTTTCTGCAGAGGCGACTCTTCGAACGACACTTGCATCAAGTGCATAAGCGCTACTGCTGAAGATTTGATGGTCGAGTGTCCAAACCAGAAAGCTGCATACTCCAAGGGGACAGTAAATCCTCCGTGCTTCATCCGTTACTCTGATATTCTGATGTATGGCGTGAAGCAGACATCTCCGACGCTAAAATTTCATCGTGTTGGCGGACTTGGAGCTCAAGTTTGCGGAAGGGGGTGAACTTCCAGACCGTGTTCGTGCTGTTGCAGTGCAACCCCAATTTGTCCCGGTTTGATTGCCAGAGTTGCTTGTGGGAATGCATTAATGATTATCAAGGATGTTGCCACGGAATGTGGTCGTGAGCTATTTTAGCCTATTTGTTAGGCATTTTTATTGTATATATTTCTTCCTAGTATAGAATCATTCCTATTGTATATCTCCTAATTAGGGTTTTCATATGTCCTATATATATAACAGGATTGAGCATTGTAAATGTACAGAAAACATATTCATTGAATACAAAAAGGAGAGTCTTTTTCTACATGGTATCAGA